AGTACTTTAAAGCATATAAATAAGTTACCCGGGCAATTGATTTACATTAGCCAATCAGACGAACTTCTGTCTATGAGTGATATATAGTCCATCATGTAAGTTCCCTCGGTTAATTCATTCGTGTTTGTTGAGGGATCCAACAAAACGCATTCCTCCAAAAGCCTAAAAAATGCCCTGGTTAACAACTTATCTTTAAATTGATTTCCGACATGTTGTTTTAGGTATCGTTCTATTTCTTCGAAACTATTGTGTTGGTAATCCTAATAAATTTAAGATAAAGTTATAAGAATTTTTATTTTAAAATGTATAGAATTTTAATTAATTTACAAACCTTTGTATTTTCGATTACAAATTCCTTTACGCCATCCGGAATCTCTATCATTTCAAATTTCGAGGTGATGCACTTTTGAATGTTGGAAATCTCATCCATTGTTAAAAAACCCTTATACGCTTGCTCATTTTCCTTTTGAAAATAAAAAATCGAAGATGCGGAAAGAATACTATGTATATTTTTTTTTGATGGGTGCTGAATTCCATTGGATAATTTTTTAAGATTATGTCGTTGCCATTTCAGCAGTTTATGCTCCCAGCCGGCAGAAATTCTTTCGGTTTCTTTCACTTTGTTTCGGATATTTAATAATTCGGAAGGTTCGAATAATAATATCTCATCTTCCTGTAAATAAATAATATATTATTAGATTTTTTATATGCTAATTGTATATTATCTAACATTAAATCTTATACCTCTTCTTCATCATCGGTTTTTGGTTCAATATATGAGATTCTCTGAAGTGATAAATAAACGCACAAAATAAATTTATTAAATTTTATAAAAAAAAAAAAAAAGTTAATACTAATTGCATCGTTACCTTTTTTGTACGTTTTGACCTAATCTGAATTTCATGATTTTCCTACGTAAATTGTTAATATAATTAGTTTTGTTGACTCTAACTTCAATTTCTATTGAAAAAAAAACTACACATCAGTACTTTGTTTTGATCATTCGGGTTTGAAAATTCATTGTTATCCCTGATGGTACTTTCTAAATATGTATTGTCATTATTGGTGGATACTTTTGATTTAAACTCTTGTTCCCATTCTTTCGCAAGTTTGTAATCAGCTCTCTCTCCCTAAAAACAAAAAAAGCATGGGAATTAGTAATATTCGCAAGTACTTTACAATTTAGAATTCCCCATGCAAATTATGGCTATAAAATCTCCCCGGGTCAGCGAATAGCCTTGAACATCAGGCAACCTAGTAAGCCACCTGTGCCCCGAGAAACCAGTGTGAGTTAGCTCAAACATCAACAAAGGTTTGAATGATCGACGACCGCGAGATTCAGAATCCTTCATCATCATCCATCGCTATAGACACCCAGGCCAGCTAATAGCCTTGAACATCAGGCAACCTAGTAAACACCTGTGCCCCAGGAAACCAGTGTGAGTCAGCTAGTAGCCGAACATCAACAAAGATTTTGTTTACTCTTGAATAATCGACGACCTAGTAAGCCATTGCCATGCCACTTTCCCGCTACGTTCCTAATAAAAAATCAGTACTTGCCGATCTATATCTATTTAAAAGATGTTGCGCTTTCTTTTGCCGGGTGGTATCTTCTTGCTCATTGTTAGCAATAGTTTCAAGTGATTTCAAGTAACAGTCGATTTTTTTATCGAAAGTTTCTATGTTGTTGCATGCATTCAAAAATTTTAATACATTCCATTCGGATGAATCACGATTAAAATATTCATGTCCCGACATTAGTTAAAAGAATGCTACTGGGCTATTATGTTTTACAGGAAAATGTTTATACGAATAAAGCAAAAAGAATTTGCAACAGTTGTGATTGAGGTATATATAGTTAAAAGAAATACTCCTGATTATTATTTACACACAAATGTAACAAAACCAAGGTGAAAAGAACTTACAAAAATTGTGATTAAGGAAAATATTACTGAGAAATGCTACTGTGTTATTCAATGAACAAGGCGAATAAACTTGCAAAATTGAGAGTTATTTCTGCAGGAATTCATTCAAAATTGAGTGATTTATGTAGCGCGTACGACAACTACTATTTATGGTTATCACCATGAGGTGGTTAATCATATTCACCTATTTCGCGAAATAACGCGCATGCGCGTTATTTCCAAATTAGGCAAATTAGGACATCAAGTATATGTCGTAAACATGTTTGGGTATATCTAAAACGCAACTTATATAGTGCGTGATTTTGCCCCTAGGAAAGTAGGAGACCCGGGGTACCACATATCCGCCAATCAGTATAATACCCCAAAATTGGATTAATAGTAGATCATATATAAATTAAAACAAAATGTAACAC